TCTGAAGCAGTCCGGATTGGGGAAATCTGTATGCAGGTCTTAGGTCCGACTACTGAATGTTGCTGTGATATTTTTCGAGCGTGCCAAAAAGCACCTTGTTGCCGTTAACGCGAAAAACCGGCATAAAATGATGTTCGTAAATAGATTTGAAATGAGCGTGTGATAGTACAGTGGTGCGCTGGGGTCATATTGGGCTTTGAGGATCCGGTCAGCTCGGAGGGCCTGCGTTTGCTTCCGCGCCTGGTTCAGAATCTTTGTTAAATTGCGTTGTTGTTGCTGGAGGAATTTGAAAAATACGGAGAATAATGATCTAAGCTTATTGCAAAACTTGCCTGGTCCGGGAAGCCCCCGCGGTCCTGGATTTCCGGGTCTTCCTGGGGGTCCAGTAGGTCCAGGTGGCCCTTGCTGCCCTTTATTTTCTCTTCCAGGCGTACCCGGGGGACCACGGCGTCCCGACTGACCATTTCTGCCGGCGGGTCCTACTGGTCCTGGTGGTCCTCCTTCTCCAGGTGCACCGGCTGATCCTGCTGTTCCCATATCACCAACTTGGCCCGAAGAGCCACGCGGTCCAGGTATTCCCTGCGGTCCTTCAGGGGCTTCGCATGTGCATTGATCAGGATAACGCTTGAGCATTTCTGGTGGCGCAACGGCCATTGGTCCTTGAGGTCCAATGTCCCCTATTGGGCCATCAATACCATCTGCCCCATCGGGGCCTGGTGGACCAGCAGGACCAGCGGGTCCGCGTTCGCAAGTGCAGCAGTTCTCGGCAGCTTGGCGACGCTGAAGCCTGCGTTTTCTGATGTAATCCCTTGCGTCTGTGGTCATGACGGCAGCACGTGATACTCGGAAGGTTGTGGGACGATTACCACCAACTTGCATCTCTAACATTTCTTTCCACATATCACGAGTTCGCATCTGGAATTGATGATCAGATATGGGAACATTGGCTGATACATCTCTGTTCTATTGTAAGGACAAATTGCAGATGGATGTGAGAAATGTGAACTGAGAGTGGCAAGAATTTGAATTTTTTATGCAGACACTCAACGGTTGGTTTTAATATCGCTCTGGGCGAGTGGCAAACAGTTACGATTATTAACTGGTTTGGTATTCGGCTGTGCTTAATTATGCAAAATATTTATGGTAACGGGCATTCACTACTACTTGCTTTTGGAATGTTCAATATGCCGATCGATATGGATCTATTCGGCTACACTGATTAAAATCGTGGTTTACTATTGATCACGAAAGATTACTGCTTTAATACTGTCGGTTGTTTTAAACAGCTACTCTGAGCGATTATTGGGCACATGTTCAGTCGATCAAGCGGAGTGTATTTTCTTACTCATTTTGAATCCCTTTCCCTAGAAATCAGTGGGCAATCTGAGAGACTAGCCTAACACCTCTGTACTCGCCAAGTCAATAGTCGAAATTGAACTATCATGAAGCCGGATGAATCTCTACGATAATAGCGTTAAAGAGGGATGTTACGGAAGGAAGAACGTGATATTAGTGATATTGGTGGTAACAGAGAGGCATAAACTCGCAATGACCTGTAATTGCTGATTAAATAAATAAATCAATGAAGCGTGTTTAACCAGTAGACCACGTACCTTACATAAATCAAGTTCCACCTGTACTTGGCTTTCTAGCGATTGAACATAATTGAAAATGAGTGGGAATGAAATTAGGCATGTTGTTATCGCTGCTGTGGCTAATACGATTGCCACAAATGCTGATGTCTTCATCGAGTGAGGACGTTGCTTCTCCTGTTCCATCCTGAATTCTTCTTTTACTTCACATCAGATCATGTTAACTTTACGATCGATTGAATAAACTGCGCAAAGACGGATTACCATCATTGAATTGTGAGATATCAAGAACTGGGTTTATATCAGTGCCATTACGTGTGAATGCCTTTTGCTCGGATGTTTCGGTGTTTTTGAGAAAGTGATTGTGCCAGCGGGATCGGTATCTATGCGGATTCAAGGTAACCAAATTACAGGCGAATAGTAAAACTTATGATTTTCATGATCATCTGCTCATTCTTGGGTTTTTTTCTTCGATATAGGCCAGGACGGATACCTAGGCAACATATGTCTAAAGGTACAGCTAAAAGTCAGCCGATGCAATTAGGTGAAGAAAACGTTAGATAATATAATTTTTACTTTCTATGGCTTACTGAATAGAATAATTTGTTGAATATTCAAGTATGCATGAATTCATGTCTCAATGATAAACAGGATACAGTTATTCATAGTGAATGACCGAATCAGTGCGTATCCTAAATATGCAGATCAAAATTAGTTGTTTATGATGTTTTTTTGTTCTGTTACTGAAATCAATGATTACTTATTGCAATGAAGGACATTTGAGAGACAGAAAGTAAAAAAAGGTTATTGTTGAATAATATTACTGAGAACAATTTTAAATTAACGGATTGATAGGTTCTCATCAAAATGGTGTTGACCTTGGCGTCATCACTGAATTCGTTTCATTATTGCATTTTACTGATTGTGAATCATTTCGAGTTTGTTGGATGGTACTCATGCTGCACATGAGACGTGTTTATGTGTTATAAAGCTATATGATGAACAGTTCCTGTTCCGTTAGAAACGGCAGCCTAACAAGGCAATTAATTCTCTGCAAGAAGCAGTTGGAAAATTGTTAGATATATGATATTAACTAAAGAAATTCAAACTGACTACCAGTACCGAAATGTTTGCACGAATATGCGTAAACATGAATATGTTGCAAGAGTTCATGGGATTTTGATTGCGATGATACTGCACTTATAAGCTGAATATAGTAATGAACAGAATAGCTTATTTTCCATTTCACTAATTTGTTTTGATCTTCATTGCACTAATTGATATAGCCTTGGAGTCAGCGGTTGCGGTATCGTGGATATTTGATTGAATTATTAACACACTTGGGTCGCATATAAGAACAAATTTATTCATCATAGGGGAACTTATAGAAAAATCAAGTTCAAAAAATTTTTGCAAGCAGTTAAAGCACTGAGAAAGAACTAATTGAATCATGGTAAGATTGATGAGTCGCAAAAGTACTGGCATTTATTCACTGAAACCACAACAAACATTCAACGTGGAAAGCTAATGTAACTGGGAAATGCAAAACGAAAATACGGTTCACAGAATCATGCTGACCTTTTATAGGGCATGAGTGAGGAGAATGATGAGAAAAAAAAGCAATTAATTGGTCACGGTGCCGCGACCGTCTATTTTTTTCGCTGGAATCCAATAGCAACGATTGTTTTGAGTTTAAATGAACAAACGATGTGAAAGAAAAGTGAAAACAAGTATTTGGAATATGAGATGGAGAGAGGTGTGTTCGAATCATATAGGATAGATGAGTGAGTAAAATTGTGAAAGACTACTGAAATTCAGAAAGAACTAAGACATATTTGAAAAAATCGAAGCAATGATGTGCTGAAATTCATAATTTATAATGTCATTTTGGAACCCATGTTGTTTTACGATCAGAAATTCAACGAATAGTCAATACTGATGTGAGCGTTCGCAATGAAAATTCTTTTCCAGACAAATGCATTTTCACACAAACAACATTCTTGCTATCTAATGGTACCAAGAAATTGACATGTTGCTGGGTAAAATTNAGGATACAGGTAGTTTGATGATATTCCGATTGTAATGTATTAATGATCAATATAGAGGTGATATATCTTCAGAAATCCATCTGTATCTCTTCAACTAAACAAAATCCGAATGAGTTTCTTTTTGGATATTGCACGGAATGCCATGCAAATATTCGACTGGATTCAAGAATCTTCGTGCACAAGTTCATAAAGCAAAGCAGTATCGTTATTTAATGAACAACAAAACGAGAGTTAATTCTCAAACTTTTTGTTTACTATTGTTGGATGCAATATTAAACCATTGTTTCAAGGCTAAGTGGCGTTCAAATAAAACAGTAAAGTGAAGTGATTTCGAATGAATTATTGTTTTAAATGATGCACCAGTTTGGGAATAAGTGCTGTTCAACTGAAACAATACAGTGAAGTGATTTCAACTGAATTATCATTTAAAACAAAACTAGTTCAGGAAACAATCTTCCAAAACTCCGTAAAAGTTATGCATGAAGTTTTATTCGACTTGGTGTTGTTTGCTTTAAACCTAAGTCACATTCGGAGAAAGTATTCATTGCTGAAATAGCATCGAAACTTTTGTCAATTTTAAATCAGCATGAAAAGGATAAGTTCCGGAAGAAAATGAGGTTATTTATGAGAAGAGTGAGAACTAAAACGGAATCGACACACTGAGAGTATAACTGCCACTGGCATTCGTTACTGAGCGCAATTCACGAATTCCTTCGCTTGAACTCAGATCATGATGAGTTTTCTGTGAAAGATGATGAGTTTTCTATTTATTTAGCTGCATCTCAAAAGTCCGTCGAATCATGAATGATCGTCTGGAACTTAAGTTCATCCCTCATCTGGCATTTTGAATATCCACGGGCACTATCGGTGCACTGGATGGTCACCAGTAAATTTATTTTCCATCGACAACATCAAAACATTTCGACAGGACGTAATCTAATTATAAGCTATCTGTAAGCACGCAGACATACGTCTACATATAACTGGAATATTTCATGAAGATACGACTGGGTATTTGTGTGTTTGAGATATTAATTGACGATAAATGTTGATATCTAGAAATGTCATTGCATTTTTATGGGTATCTCATCACTCTGGAAATACCGGTGTACTATATCCAACTAATTTTTTTAGCAACAATTGTGCATATAGCAAACTTATTAACATTTGTGCTTGTTATGTTCATTAAACTCCTGGTCATCACGAAAGTATATATGTTGTTGACAAAAGATTTTTAATTCCAGGGATCTATCTTAAATTTATAACGATAAGCACAGTGATTCTATTACACCGTCCATTTTTTTAGTTTCGTTCATTCTATTGATAAATGGTGCACCAGTTTGGATATATCAGGATTGCCACATTTAAGTAATTCATACAAAAAATTTTCTCGGTAATCACATAATTTTCTGTTGATTTCAAATAGATTCGATCCCGAATCACACTAAATGCTCGCGTTGTAGCGGTGAGTATAAAAGGTGGATGTGTGGAAGTAATGTATGTGCACTTTTTTGATAGTTCTCTGTGACTTGAGGCATCGCAAAAATTTGTATGATATTAAAGCGTTTTTCTTCAATATGAAGTTTTCCACCCATTTACTGAACAAAAATGCAAAATACACCAAGTTCATCTATTCATTCATTCGATTCAAAACATAATACACAGAAGGTCAATAGTATGGCTGTTCCTCCCACTACAGTGATTAGAAAATCAGCAAGTTGAGCTGATGCCAATTTGATTCGCTTCATCTTACTCCAAACTGCCATGACAATGGATAATTTGATGAACAATTGTCATGGATAATTTTAGCAAGATGTTTCCTAGGAAAGATTCGAATATAGCTGCCAGTAGTGTTCGTCGGGGAACGGGGTCCCCGTCGGGGACCCCGGCGGGGAACGCGGGGGGGAACGCGGGGAGCGCTCCCCCCCCGCGCAATTTGCTCCCCGACTTTTT